CCCTTTATTGTGTGTTGTCCTGGTCTTTGCTGCTAGCATTATGCCTCTTTTACATGTAGGGACCTAACTTGTACACTTATACAACATTTTCTGTGATTAATAATAAAAATCTTTCAGAATAAATTCTAATTTAGTAAATCTGTGTTTGAAGGGGTGGGGGTGCCTCTTATGTTGACGTATGTCTACGGGGTCGTGCCCATGTCGTTGTGCCGTAATGGCTGGTGCAGGCCACAAACTGAACCTCCTGAAGTACGGAACATACAGTTGGAAGATCTGGCAAATTGTAAGTCCAACTTCTTGAAATTTGGCTATATGAATATACATTTACAGTTAACTTAAATGTTGTACTGCAAATTTTTTATTTTTTTTTCAGTAGCCTGATGTTGTTCAGCTGCATTAAAAATAGCACTTTGCTTTTAACTCCAGTATAAAAATTCGAGGGCATTTATCTAGCAATTTTATACTGAGATTTCTGTTTTTGTGCCAGAAAAAAACATGTAGAGATAATATAATACAGATATTAGAAGTTAGCTACTTTTTGCTAAGAGCTTTTAGTTTAGCTAACTACTTTTAAGAGTATCTTTGTTGTAGTTTAACCACATTGAACAGCTTCTTTGCAGTTGCTAGAAAATGATCCTACTTTATTATAAATTGCTTATAAATCATTATGTATGAGTTTGAATTATGGAAACATTGTAACTTGTGCAGAAAGATTAATTTTGTAACATTAAGCTCAATTTGGCCTGATCTAATGACATTTAAACTTCTCTTGAAGATCTTCTATTTTCTCATGTAGTCAGTGATCACTGGACCGGCCAGACCAACCCAGCTCTATCCGACGGAAGCATACAGGAAGTGAGTGTGAATGTGGAGGAAGTGATGTCGCTTCCCAGCACCAGTGTGGTCCAGTCTGGAGCAAAGGGCTCAGTTGAATCTTCTAATGATGGACATGTTGACAGCACTGAGCAGGTTGTTCAGTCAGAAGATGTGGATGTAGTTGAAGAGTGTGCCTTCAGCAGCACACAAACATTTGCTCTGAGGTCAGCAAATTTTATGGCATAACTTGATTTCACTGGCAAATTTTTTACCCCAAAATATCAATAAGCAGTTAAGCAGTTCTGTTAAAATGTATACAGTACTATTCAAAAGTTTGGGGTAAGATTTTTAATGTTTTTGAAACAAGCCTCTTATGCTTGCCAAGGCAGGACTAATTTAATTAAAAATATAGTAAAACAGTAAAATTCTGAAATATTACTTGAATGTAAAATATCTGTTTTATATTTTAATATATTCCAAAATGCAATTTATTCCTGTGATGGTAAAGCTGAATTTTCAGCAGTCATTACTCCAGTCTTCAGTGTCACATGATCTTCAGAAATCATTCTGAAATGCTGATTTAGTGCTCAAGAAATGTTTCTTATTATCAATGTTGAAAACAGTTGTGCTGCTTCATATTTTGTTTTATTATTTACTTTTCAGGATTCTTTGATGAATAGAAGGTTTTGTAACATGAATATAAATCTTTTGTAACATTATAAATGTCTTTACTGTCACTTTTGAACAATTTGATGCATAAAAGTATTCATTTCTTTAAAAAAATAAATAAATAAATTACTGACCCCAAACTTTTGAACGACAGTGTATTTTTTTTCTAAGAAATGTGACCCTGGAGCACAAAACCAGTCTTAAGTCGCTGGGGTATATTTGTAGCAATAGCCGAAAATACATTGTATGGGTCAAAATTATTGATTTTTCTTTTATGCCAAAAATCATTAGGATATTAAGTAAAGATCATGTGCCATGAAGATATTTTGTAAATCTACTGTAAATATATTAAAACTTAATTTTTGATTAATAATATGCATTGCTAAAAACTTCATTTGGACAACTTTAAAGGCGATTTTCTCAATATTTACATTTTTTTGCACCCTCAGATTCCAGATTTTCAAATAGTTGTATCTCGGCCAAATATTGTCCTATCCTAACAAACCATACATCAATGGAAAACTTATTTATTCAGCGTTCAGATGTTGTATAAATCTCAATATCGAAAAATTTACCCTTATGACTGGTTTTGTGGTCCAGGGTCACAAATAATAAGACGAAATGATGCCAAACTACTTAAGGTTTTCTTTTCATGATGATATCAAAATGGCCCTGACATTTATATCTCCTCAGAAATATATAAAAATTATTTTTAATATAGCTAATCATAGAATATGTGTATTCAAGTAAGAATTGCATTTTTAATGTTAATGTTTTCATGTTTTTATTATTAGAACATCAATGAATTATTTTTCCCATAAGTCTGTTTTTGTAAAGTTTTTGTTGTTGTTGTTGTTTACAGCAGGGAAGGGACTAATATTGAGGTCCGTGTGGAGATCGAGGCCCAGCCACGGGACGGCCGGAAGCCGAGTCTCAGCAGTATTCTGTCTAGCAAGAGCCTGTCGGTGGAATCGCTCAGCCAGCCCTGTGAACCTCTGTGTGCCTCTCAACAGACAGGGAGCACCAACCCCATACCATTTCCTGAGATAGACAGCGCCTGAGCAAATCCTGGAAAACCACTGCTTCCACGGCCCACCTACACCCCCACCGGGTGCTTCCAGTCTCTGCTTGCAAACGCAGAGGGTCAGCGACATGGAAACCAACACACAGAGAGCGTGAAAGAAAAAAGGAGAGGGGGAGATGAAGATGAGAGTCCAGGGCAGCTGCCAAAATGTCACGGAGGGGATTAAAGACGATCATATGAACTCAAATGACCAAGCGCATGTTTGTCAACAAGTTTGAGGAGTGCTAATTGATTTTATACTGTGTTCTATAGAAGACATTGCCTATTTGGATGCTGGTCTGTTTAATTTATTCAATTAGCTTTTGTTTTAGCTATACCCTTTTATCTAATGACCATATGGTTCGTATCCCCCGACTTATTTGTAGGGGAAACAAGGAAAAAGAATTAAACTACGGATTAATAGCATGGTTCATTCTGCCACAGTTGCTAGCCTGACATGCCATGTGACTAGAAACATGGTGAGATGTAACTCTTGTGCTGCAGGCTAATGCTAACTTGGGTAATGGGCTTCCCCCCATGGTTAATTTCAAATTCATTTGAATTATGCAATTTTTTACATGACTGTTGCATTTTCATGAAGGAGCAGCAAAATCTGGATTTAGGTCTAGAATTAGCCTTCAGCATCATGCTGTTTTTAATATGGTCTGATTATGATAATATTAGGTCAAAACTGATAATCTTAGGGAACTCTAACATCATGAGGACTCTGATTTTGAGTGATTCTCAGAAAACTGATGATCTTGTTTCCCTCTGTTCACTTTTAGATCTTTATTTCTGCAGTAAAGGCATTTGTTTTTGCTGCTGTTATTGAGTACTTAATGAATCAAGAGTTTTGTCCATTAACTAAAGAGAGCACCTTATCTCAAACATCTACATTGACAGTTTCAGCTTACTAAGTAATTCCTTGTATTGGTACCCCAGAGCCAACAGTTGGATAATGTCTAGACTACTGGTATTTTTGACACCTGGCTTCGATGGAAGAACTCAGAATGCTAGATCAGGCCTCAAATACAAACTTGTACCCTATGTCCTATTCAAAAATGAGCAGCGGGCAGCCCTGTTTAAAGTGTAAAAGACCTCCAGGAGTTTCCAAAACTGAACCTTCATAACTGCACTACAGGTTGGGAACAATGAATGGAACAGTATGTCAATAAAAAGATTTGTATTGAATGGTGACTGGAAGAATTGTTATGTTTTCTTCTCGGTTGTCCAATATTTTTCATTTTCATTTATCGGTTGGATGTCATTTTATGTTTTACGTAGTTTCTGTTTAAACCTGTTTGTCAGCATTTCTATAAGGCACAGACAGAGGGCGCTAGGGCTCTAAAAACGCACTCGATCAATGATACCTGCTGCATCTGGAGTCCAATAGGAAATCCAAGCAGTACAGAGTTATATATGTTGAACTCTTCTTTTGAAATATTTATTTAAAATAATTAAGAATTTTAAGAAAATACCTTACCAACTAACTAAACCAGACCATGAAGATGATTTGGGGCATACTAGATGCATTATTTGTTGATGATAATATTTGAATATTTCTATTGTCTATTGGAAATTGGTTCAGAATAGTAGCAACATCATAAATAAATAAATAGATAGATAGATACAATTATTAATGGTTGTTGCATAACATGGGGACAACTTCAAGAACAACTGTTTTATTAAAATATTTTAAAATAAAATAGCTATTATGTGGAATTATATGGAATAAATATTCAATCCCACTTTATGTTATTTGATTAAAATAAATGCAATTATTGACAAAAATTTGTAGGAGGTTATTACTGAAATCATTAATTCTACAACATCCAGTTTTCAGTAGTGAAAAGTTGTTTACTGCACATAATCATGGTAACTGGGTTGACTATTTAAGATCATCCACTACAAACAATACATAAAAAACGTCTCAGGTTACTTATGTAACCATGGTTCCCTGAGTAGGGAACGAGACACTGCGTCCTCTAGGGGTCGCTATGGGGAACGCCTCGAAGGGAACGTATAGGCCTAATAGAAAAAGTAATCAAAAAGAGAAAATCAATTACGTTCTAAAAGAAAGTTCATATCTTGAAAGTATGATGAGTTGTTTTTATTAGTGTTTATGATAGCTATACTGTCATTTTAATAAGAGGAAATTATGATGTTAACAGGGTTGACGCACAACATGGGAACACAAGTTCAAATGTTTTTGATTTTATGATATTTGATTCAAATAAATAAATGATATGATATACTATAGGCCTATGATATGCTATAAATATATAATACTATTATAGGCTACATAATGCATAAAGCGATAATAACATAGGCCTATATTAAAAACGTTTCATTGTTACAGTCTCTACGTTGGTCACAGAATGACCCGGATGAATAATTATGATTCCCTCCAAGTTTCGCATGGTTGTTCTTCTCATTTCATCATGAAGCGTCATCGGGTGTGTGAAGGGTGCAGCTCGTGGATCTCCGTCAGTCGGGCAGTGAAGGGTTAATGTTACAGTACAGATACAGGACTGTGAGCCGGTGTCTATAGACTGCTCGTGTCCACTGACTCGCTCCATTCATTACTCGCTACATGCTACTCTACTTTCCCCATTCCCACAGTGGGCACCAAAGAAGAGCTCTGCACCTGCTCTACACCTTCCAGCATGGATGCGCTAAAATCCGCCGGGAGAGCAATAATCAAAAGTCCCGGAGTTCCGCGGCACACATGGGGAACGTCCAAGCATGAAAGTGAGTAACCTGCGTTTATCTCTGTTTACATATACTGAATACAACTGCATCAGTGCTGATGATCACGCGATGCTCTGATAACACTGCCTTCCTCAAGCTACCTGAACATCTTTTATATGTCGTTTTACTGTAATGTATATATATATATATATATATATATATATATATATTATTATAATTGCATACGGAAGTTGCTCAAATCTGATTTAGAAAAATGAAATGCCCTGCTCAGACATTATATAGTAATAATAATAGTTAATATATATACATACATACATATACGTATATACATATACACTATATATATATACATATATTATATATATATATATAAAATCATTTTTTATTAATGCAGTGCTTTTTGCTTAAATATTCATATAGCTAGCTTTTATTTGTCTCTGCATAGTGTGAGATACTCTTCTGTGAATTGCAATTTACAGATTCACAGAATTGCAATTGTGAATTGTTTAATTGCACATCTACAGTTAATTCCAATTAGAAATTTTGCAGTGCATTGGATTCTTGCCCAATGTTGACCCTACAGATAAAAGTCTGGTCACTGTAAAAAGATCCTCACTTTTTCCCATGTGTGTAAGAAAATCCAATTAGATTGCATAGATGTTACCACTGAACTGTTCGAGGTTGACTGGCTTTATGAAATGTGTTGAAACTTGGTCAGGCTCGGAGAGACACCTGGCCACACTGTGCAAATAAAATCACAGTTCCAACTTTCACACTCTCACTGACTCCAAATCACACTTCATCCATTTATGTTTTAATGATTGAATCAGTTGGCCGGTGCTGTCAGCTTTTGATCTGTCAGGAGGAAGAATCGAGTGCTCTTGTATGGAAAAGAGGGCAGTGGTTTTATGAGACAGCCTGTGTCACATCAGCGGTGACAGACAGGAGCCTGAGGCTCGACACACTGTCATTCTGATGTGTGAGATGTGAAGTTCATGAGGCACTCTGGGGACAAAACATCCTCATTCCCACTTGAACTGTGTGCCAGGCATACAGCTGGAGGAAGTATGCTTGTCTCTTGTTGCTGAGAGTATATGTATATTTACTAAAAACCAAGAAAATTAGCATAATAAATTATTTAAATCAACAGTTGTGTCTTGGGAATTTAGATGTGCTCCCTTTGGATTAAATATTAATGATTTGATGGTTGTCTTTCTAGCAATGGTTTGTATTTCAGAGACAGAGTGAGAAGGAAGGCATGATTTCTCACAAAGGACTATTATATAGAAACCTAAATCTTGAAGATGATGCCAGTTACATTGTTTTAAAGAATAGTTAAAAAGTAAAAATTCGATTGTCATTTACTCACCCTCATGTCATTCCAGACCTGAATGCATTTGTTTTCATCTGTTGAACACAAAGAAAGAAGATATTTTGAAGAATGTCTCTCTTATTTTTGTACATGAATAAAAGTCATTGGGATTCAAACCAAAGAAATGAATGCTTTTATTTAGCAAGGACACATTAAATTGATCAAAAGTGATAGTAAAGACATTTACAATGTTACAAAAGATTTCTATTTCAAATAAATGCTGTTCTTTTGAATTCATCAAATATTCCTAAAAATATATATTGTGGTTTCCACAAAACTGTTTTCAACAGCTCAAATGATTCAGCATTGATAATAGTAAGAAATGTTTCTTGAGCAGTAAATCAGCATATTAGAATAATTTCTGAAGGATCATTTGATACTGAAGCCTAAATTCAGCTTTGCATCACAGGAATAAATTACATTTGGAAAATATATTCAAATAGAAAACAGTTGTTTTAAAGTTGTAATAATGTTTCACAATATTTCATTTTTTACTGTATTTTGATCAAATAAATGCAGCCTTGTGAGAATAAGAAAATTCTTTCAGAAGCATTAAACAAATCTTACCAACCCCAAACTATAAAGTGTAGTGTATGTACAAAAAAAAAGAGACATTTTTCAAATTATTAGCCTATGTGTTTGAAACACTCAGAGCATGCAGTTTTGAAAACGATTAAACTTTTGTGCTTTCATAAAAAAAAAAAAAGTGAAATTAAATATTTTAACTCAAAGGGGAGCAGATTCTAGTACAGCATAAAAACAAGTGAATAATGAATAGTTTTTGTGCTGGTCTGATGAATATTCATTGGAGGCTGGTGTTGTCTCTCAAGTGTGCATTTGACTTGACGAAGGTCAGAGTTTTCACTGGCACTCATTAAAAGTGAAATTTCATGTTTTATTTTACCAAAAGAGAATGTTCAACCTAAAATATCACATTTGGCCTCCTATAAATGCTGTCTTTTTTTTCAGAGAGTTGGTGTGTGTAATATCATGCACACAGAGAGAAGTCACTATCAATTCTCGTTGTGTCATTAAAATAACATTGACAGTTCCAAAGGTCACATTAGTTGCTGCAAGTGTTAGATGCCCTTCCCGTTTTTTACACTGCAAGCTTTTGCAATTTCTAGTGTAATAACGCCTCGGTGGGAAATAACAGGCTTGAGCAGTAACGTCCCTGCTGATAATGTAGACATAAAGAAAGCTATTTTAAAAAATAAACACAATTGATGTTAATACTTTACTGTTTGATCATAAATCTGTATGTCAGAATTTCTGAGCTGGTACAGTTGTGTCAATCCATGTTTAAGTAAAGCAGACATTCTGGCTTTGGATGAACCAATTACAGGAAGGATGTCAGCAAATTTATCACATTGACCAGACGCAGTGTAAAGAACAGGGACGTTACACTGACATCAGAGAAGTGGTCTCCATGTGCCATTTTCAGTTATCAGATTCAGAAGTGGATAAGGTGACCGTGCACACAGACTGACTTAGGCCTACACAAACACTGTGGGTAGAAAATTCTTACACATACTGACACCCATATGCATACATATGCTCATGTACACCACAGTTCAAAAGTTTGGTGTTGGTGAGATTTGTTAATGGTTTTGAAAGAAGTCTCTTATGCTCTTTATTTGATCAAAAATGCATAAAATACTAATAAACTGGTTCCTACTTTAAAATGCACTTTATTCCTGTGACAGCAAAGCTTAATTTTCAGCTACTCCAGTCTTCAGTGTCGCACGATCTTTCAGAAATCATTCTAATATGCTGATTTGCTGCTCGAGGAACATTTCTCATTATTATCAATGTTGAAAACAGTTGTGCTGCTTAATATTTTTGTGGAAACATTGATCATTTTTTTTCAGGATTCCTTGCTTAATAGAAAGTTCAAAAGAACAGCATTTCTTTAAATAGAAATCTTTTGTAACATTATAAATGTCTTTATTGTCATTTTTGATTAATTTATGGCATCCTTGAATAAAAATATTAATTTCTTTCAGAAAAAATCAGAGGCCACTTTTGAACATTAGTGTACATATGCATATTTATAGATGGAAAAATACTGATCATATAGTGTGCAGAAAATTATTCCATACAACACTGAATCAATGACTGAAGCATGCATGTGAGCGCATCCTAAGGATGTTTCCGGTGAAAAAGCAGAATTTGTAGTTTTTATCGTTATACTCTTCTCATTATTTTTGATTTATGGTTTCTTGTGTCAAGTTCTGTTGCTAGAAAGTAAAGGATTCTTGGCTGTTTCGTTAACGTTCTCTACATTTTATCATTCAGCCTATTCTTGTTTAATCATTTATCATACAAATTATAAGTTAGTGTCATAACATATTCTTTAGATTCATTTTTAGCATTTTAGGCATTTACTTTGATATTTCACCCATATAGTGATTTTGTTTAGCTAAATGCTTAAATGTTGGAATAAGTATGAATCTGTGCCAGGTTCGAGTTTCATTCATTTCTTCTGGTAGCAGGGGAGTTTCAAGAGTGTCTATTATGTTCAAGGTTAGCTGATAAGCAGTTGTTTCCTCTGTGAGTTCTTTGTTTCATGTGCTATAAAGAGGCTATTTTGTGTTCTTTCTGACAGCACTTGAGGTGGTTGTTAGATTTTTCATATGAGAGCTCTTGTAATGAAGAAAGCTTTGTAGTCTGTTTTCACAATAATAAGCACCAACGTTCATACACATTTGGTGAAAAACACACACACAACCATTTTTCTAAATCAAGAGGGTGCAATGCTGTGTGAAAAGACCCCATTAGGTTTTATAAGGGTTCATTTCAGAGTGTGCTCAGCAATGGACAGCTTTTTGAAGACTGAGACTATCTTTCCTCTCCCTTAATTAGGACTCAATTCTGACCTGGAAGGCACGCAAGGAAAGAGAGAGAGAGAGAAAAAGACACACTCCTTTATTACTTCTGGCTTCTACTCCCAAACATTGTTATTGTGATCACCTTCAAACACTGTGACGTGATCCGCGTGCAACAGACTGTCTGCCTTTAGTCTCAGCAAGACTCAGCCGCTCAGGTTCAACAGAAAATTTTGAAATTTCTTAAAAAAGACATTAGACCTTATGCCCTAGGTGACAAAATCAACTTAGCCTGTGAATCAGGACCTGAATAAACGAACAGATGTTCATACTGCATCTTTTTAATTAACATAAATTTGCCGCTTGCTTAATTTACTTAATTAAAATGAAATAATGCAATCTGATTTAATCATGTGCAATCTATTTAAATAAACAGAAATTTCTTTAATCCATTTGCACTGGGGGTATATGAATACTTTTCATGCTGTTGATGTAGCATTACACATAGAAATTAGAAATCAGGGGATTTTACCTGCATGTTTTACATGGGGCATTAATTAAAATAAAGTGGTATTTATGTGTTTTTTGAGCAAGAGGAGAAATGGTTAGTGTTTAATGTTCAGCTATTTTAAAGGAATAGTTCAACTAAAAATGAAAATTTGTTAAAAATATACTTACCCTCAGGCCATCCAAGATGTACAGTAGATGAGTTTGTTTCTTCATGGGAACAGATTTTGAGAAACGTAGCATTGCATCAGTTGCTCACCAATGGATCCTCTGCAGTGAATGGGTGCCGTCAGAATGAGAGTCCAAACAGCTGACAAAACCATCACAATAAT